ACTACAAATAACTGTAACAAAAAAAAAAAAAAAAAGCATTAAATCTAAATAACGAATATTAAACAAGAATTATTTCACTTAGAAAGAAAGCACTGATCTATCCTAAATACCATGTTTACTATTGGCCTGGGGTCTCATTTATAAAGCTTGCATATGCACACACAAAAAAATAAAAATAAAGTAAAATTAAATAACAAAAAACAAACTCTGACCCATCCAGATGGGGTACACATGTTCTAGAGGAAGGGCAAATTAGTGACACAGATAGTGAGGTTAGGAATTAATGCCAGATTGCATCATAAGTCTTTTTAGACTTTTCTGTTTCATGACATATGAAACTATAATCGTAGATTGACTTTATGAAATCCAAAACTGAGTCATAGCTAAACATCATAACCAGCCACATAAATAACAGGTGTTCTTAAGCCATTCTAAATCAAAGTCTGCACAATCTCTAAGCATTTTCTTACTATCACATACCCCTCTCCCCTATGAATAAAATAGTTATGGGTATCACAGATTAATCCATAAGTTGTAATTAAGGTGTGTAACAGTAGCACTGACTTCTGTAAACATTTAAATATTGTTATGACATTTTTGCACCATAGATGCATTGTCACTGATGGGGAGAATTGGGAGGGGACACACTCTGAGGCATCACAGAGGTTTCCTGGCCTATATTGATGACTGGCTTATGACTAGTCTCCCTAGATCACATTGCTCTTGGCTCTCTGTGCTGTACAGGGTCCAGTGTTGGAGAGATAACCTTATAGACCCACGACATCCCTGTTCATCAAAAGATGATAAACTAAAGAAATCCAGTGCACACAACTCCTATGTAAATGGCTGCATGCTTCAAAAGAAACAGAATTAAATAACAAAAAATGAGCACTTTGTATAGGGTATAAGAAAATTTGTTTATCTAATATGGGAGAACAAACATAACATGTTTTGGCTACATGCCACTGGCAGTGTTTCCATTCAAATGAAAGTATTAAGCAAAAAATTTAAAAGTTTGACAAAAAGGAAATCCGTATTTGTGGTATTTCCATTTGGTTTGTAGTAAATTAACCAAGCACCGCAAAGTATACTGCTGTGATAAGTTGTTCTCCAAATTACGCTGCATGGTATCATGGAAGATGTCCTTACATTAGCATGTGGTGTTCTAGTAATGGCGATGCTGCTTCCAGCCAGGTTTACCTGTGTAATAGGAACATAAGGTGGTGATCAGTCATGTAAGGTAAAAGATTTCTATGTGATGATTTGAAAAAAGGGTTTCCATCTCCTGTTTTGTGCATTAATACTTTCTTGCAAAGGCCAAAGACTCCTCAAGCGGGCAATTTTTTATTTTTTTTTGTAAATGTAAGGGAGTTTATTCAAATACTTAAAATTGTGTATCAGAGAAAGCTGATGAAAATGTACCTAATATTCACTTAATAAACATCTGAGATACTTTGACTATCTATAGAAAGATCAGTAAACATCTGAATATAAAGAGCTCATAAAGCTGAACTGCAACAATTTTCTTTCCCAATTTAAATCTTTTAGATAGCAACCTTTTCCCTTTTTTTTTTTTTTTTAAGAATTACCACTTTGGTGTTAGTCCCCAGATATAAAACAATTATTTACTTGATAATTCTGCGAAATTATTTCTTTAACTGAGACAATACAGCGACTACTAAACGCACTTCTACCTGCCATCTCAGAAGACACTGTTATTATTACCAGTCCATATGTCACACTGTGAACATGTTGCCATTCTTAATATTTCATTTTATTTGTCACACGACTGCTGTGGTTACCAAAACAATCTTTTCCACTTTTCACCTCACTCACCAACTCATCAATCTCTGTCTTGGTTAAACTGATTTTTTTAAACTCTCTTCTCCATGGCTGCCATAGTCAAACATGGCATAGCATTCTTCAGCTGGCTCATTTAAACACACATTAACATTCTTGAGGGGCTTCACATTGACTATGGTTAAATGTGGACATGAGGGCCGAACAATTGTAGGAACCTTTTATGCAAACTTTTTGAGATGCAGCTGTGAATAATAAGGGGACTTTTGGGCTTAGCTAAGAGAGCCCGTTATAATGAAATTATTAAGAATATTGTCATACTTGTGGCGTACATGGAGCCTACTCAGTGTTTTATGAATGAGACCCCAGATCTTAAACCTCAGATGTGGGATGTTTGGAAACTGACCAAACAAGAAACAAACATGTTGCATTGGAAAATAAAGACTGGGGCAAACCTTCTTCAGTGAATGATCCACAGCTGTTAGAAAACATCTCACTGCAGCTCTTATAGGGTGTTCTCCATTTATTTCCAGCCAGAAAAGTTTTTCTTTTGTTTACATAATTTGTTTCATAAATGAAAGAGAAATTAATAAAATACTCTGCCCCTCCTTATCTTAAATACATTATCATACCTAAATTTCTCAGAGGAGCACTTTACTTTGAGACAACTGGCTTAATTGTGGTCCCCTATTATTACAAACATAGACCAGGGGTAGATCCTTCGGCCATATGGCCTATTTTATGAGGAATCAGCTGCCAGCCTGCGTTCAGAAAGTTGAAACCCTCTCAGCCTTCAAGGTTAAAAAAAAATAGCTTTCTTTTTGAAAGAGTGTTTGAATAGTTTATCTGTTGTTTTTAGCATCTCATCAGTTGTTTTATGTCCAATGTGTTTTTCTTTTCTTTAAATTTGTTATGGTTTTAAAGTCTTTTAATATAAATATGAAGATTGGGTTTTATTATCAAAATGGGTCGTTTTTCTCCCTCAAAGCTAGAAGTAAATTGGTAGCATGAACATTCCTGCCACTTCTGGATTATGGAGATGTTTTATATATGAATGCTTCAACCAAATGTCTGAAATTGAATTGAATACTGTTTATCATTGTGCTTAAGGTTTATAACTGGTAGTAGACGTTTGATACATCATTGTGATTTGTATGCAAAAGCTGATTGGCTTCCTTTAAGTGTTCGGAGAAACAATCATTTGATGATCCTAATATATAAATTTCTTCTTGGACTAACACCCACATACTTACCATAAGCTCTCTTTTGCATAGATCTAGTAGTTTACATTTTTTACGCTCAAATGTCTTATTCTTCTACATGTTCCTCGTGTTCGAACTGATAAAAGAAAGAAAGCATTCAGTGTGTTGGCTCCTACAGTGTGGAATCAGCTCCAGTCTGAGCTCAAGATGTCAGACTCTATTTCATTGGACTTATTTCAAGCGGTTCTAAAAAATAGACAACAAGCTTTTATGAGACAGTCTCACAGCTTTTAAATAGTTTTTATTGTTTTATATTTGTGCATATTTATTAGTTGGTTTTATTTTTATAACCAGGTTGCAGTGTATTGTAGATCTCTGCCCAGGTCCCCCTTGAAAATGAGATCCAGATTTCAACAGGGTTTACCTGGTTAAATAAAGGAAATGAAAATGAAATGAAAGCACTTTGAGATACTCTTATGTTAAAAAGGTTCTATATAAATTTTCTTTTGTGTTACAAAATTCATTGTGTGGGCCACCAACAAACCAACAATGACGTTTACTTAAGTAGGATATGCTGAACTAACATGGGAAGAGTTGTTGGTCACCCTAAAGATATTTTTGCATATCTTTTCGGCCTAAATTAGTGCCTCAAGGTTATGAACTGTCTAACTCTAGACTTAAAAGCAAAATAAAATCCATAAAAAGATTTAGAAATGGATGTTCACCAAATCTGTTCATGGAGTCTAACCAAGTCTGAGTTCCTTCGAAAAGATGAAAAGACACAGATTTTAGCCTCTATAAGCGTAAAACCAATAGAAACAATTTCCAAACCAAAGTAAAATACCGGTATGCCGTTCTTCAAAGTATTGACAAAATGGCCCTAACTACAAATGCAGACCCCTCGTTTGAGAATTTTATTTGTCAAAAATAAATAAATCAAATTAATAAGCTAAAATGTAATAAAGTTAAAGCAGATATTAATACCTTTCCAATTAAGTATTTTCAATGTTTGTTCAGGACTTTTAGCATGTTGACTTCTGTGACTTCTGCTTTACACAAGATTTTTAAAGCTGTGATCCCGTATTGGATGTAGGCCATGACGTGATTATGGAAAAACTAACAGCTCTTTTTTTAAGCTCTGATTTTGTGTATGTATGCTGCATAGTTTTACAAGGAGTAGTGACTTTTGACAGTTTTCAGCGATTCCTTGAGGTTAGCAGGCCTGAGCCTCTGTGTACCTCATTCTAACACCCCGCTGTGTAGGAGGACATTCGACTTTACATCAGTGAAGGTGTGCAGAAGCTAGAACGAGGGGAAAAGTGCAAAAGACAGAGGGCAAGGACACAAACATGACACCTTTACACCTAGTTGTCAGTTAGCTTTCAGGCCCCAATCTTCCTGGACTCCTTGGTTTCCTTTCAAGCAACCTCTCCACACTCATGTTAGTTTTCAGACCATAACATTTAAGCCGGGTCATGCTGTAGAGTAGAGATAAAAGGAGAGGCGACAATAAACCCAGGGTTAGGAAAGACTTGAGGGTGGAAACTGGGAGAGGCTTCATCAGGCTGGAGACGGGACAGCTTTGCCAAAAATATTGTCATCCATCAAGATCTGTATGATCTCAGAGGGTTTTAGAGATCCAAGGTGGACTATTGCATTCAGATATTTCACAATGATAAAAAACAGAGAAATGTTAATCATCATAGCCTGTGTTTTATTTCATGAAAGATTTTTCACAGCTTTTATGAACTTTCTTTGTGTACAAATTTACATATATAAACATATACACATTTTATATATATATATATATATATATATATATATATATATATATATATATATATATATATACACACACATCAACAAAAATTAGTCAAGCATGTGTTGGGAAGCCCCTTCACTTTGAGGTTTGATGAATAGGACAAACACATTAACCAGTGTACCAGGTAAGGTTAAGAGTGGATAAATGAGCAAATAAAGTACTAATGAAAGCTCAGCTTCTGAACCAGAATTGCTGTTTCCTTTATTATTGATTCCCAGCCTTTTTGGAAAATATACCTTTTCATTATGGGTTTGGGGATTTTGACCAGAGGTCTGCAAACTGTGGCATGGAGATGTATTTTAAAGTCTCTCCAATTTACGTAGGCCAAACACAATATAGAACTCAGTGTTTTTAAGTTATAAACATTTAAAGCTTGTTTTATTTTTTATTTTCATTTACACAAATCATCTGCATATGGTCCTTTTGGCCATTTGCCATTTAAAACCACTATAGATTTATTATTCTCAAATCCAATAAATAAATTTCTCATAGGTAGGAAAGACCAAAATTGTGGTTTGAACGGGCAAAGGGGAAAAATAGACCCAGAATGACACCATTAGTACCTAAATCCTTACATTGATTAATGTAATTTTGACAAAAGTGCCATGGTTTTATCCCCTCCTTTTGTTTTAAACTCTTTAATGTAGTAGAAATTTATACAACTTTGACAATTGACCTATTCTTTGAAGAAAACAATGGCTTTAAGGCAAATTGTGTTACACTAAATGCTCTTTAGTTTGCAAAGGTCACTTACCCCTGCTCTTATAAATATTTCTTACGGGAAAACAAATATTTCATAAAAATTATTAGTTTGAAATGGGTATTTTAAAACCAAGTTAACATAAATTTCCATTTTTTTATTTTGACAGTTTGAAAAACTTTTTTTCAGATGAAACAAGCTGGATGAGGCTGAGCAAGGAGCTGAGTGCTACACATCTTTACAAATATCCTACATTAACATTGCCATTTTGGCAGCTGCTGACAACACAGACAAAAAAAGAACAACAATAATTTCTCTACATGTAGAGGAGGAAGAAAATAACTGACAATGTGCTAATACAATGCACGGCTGTACCAATGATATGAACATCTAAAAACACATGATCACAAAGGTCATTATGATTTTAAACTCATATTATGATCATTCTGCTTGTAGTTTTCTTTACGTTGACTGAAAAATGTGTGCATCCTAAATTGCCAAATTTGAGAATTTTTTTTATCCTCAAAAAATAAAAAAAGAATGCAAAGATAAAAAAGAAAAACATCCGTCTTTGAGGTCCGTTTCCACTTTTGAGCGATCCACGCTCCACATTCACTCAAACAGACACATCAAACACACACTGAACAATACATACTGTCCAAGCTTGTATAAAAAAACAACCTCATATATAGATATATAAAAATCTCAGTATTATTTCCCCGACAGCCTGCATCGGGTTCAAAATGTCTCTGTTTTGTGTAGAACTAGTGGGCCTCAGTGCAGCATAGCGGCTAATAAGACTGGGATCATGGAGAAAAAGAACGACAAAGACACCAGCTGTGGTGCAGAGCTGCCGATGCTCCTCTGAACATTTGGCTCCATAACAGCAGGGTCATCTAAAGGAGGGGAGAGAGAGAGAACATGGTTTCATCAGTCAGGAATGGTAAACACACCCAGATTGATCTGGTCTGAGACATGATTCCAGTTAGTGGGAATTAAGTCCTTACCTGCTGGGAGTCGGTTGGCTGGGTTATGAACTCCTCCTAGAGCATTAAACTTCATTTTTTCCTCCTCCTTCTCTCTCTCCTCCGATTTGGACTTATCTTGAGACTTTGCAGAGCCTTTATGTCCAACGACATCCACCCTTAGCCTTAAACAATCACTGCCGTGGTGATGCATTGGCTTAGCTATACATTTAGGAGAGAAGAGAAAATATTTAATAAAAAATAAAAGAAAAACTCTTTAAAATTACACAGAGATTTTAATTTCTTGTGAGACTTACATATATAGTAATAGCTCTCTCCCGCCCTGAACTCTTTTCCCAGCGTAAAGGGTGTGAAGCGCTGGAACTTCTCCGAGAATTTTTCTGGAGCGTGGGGAGCGAAGGGTCTCGAGCACTCCCAGCGGAGCTGATCGAATGAGTGAGGCTTGCAGACATCATAGTCATCCTTCTCCACCATATACAGCACGTAGCGCTCGGCCATATTTGGCAACACCTTCTCGTGGGTGTAGTGGGGGCAAATGATGTCCAGGTAGTCATTGATGTGCACCTCTACTCTGTAGTCATCCCACAGGAAGCTACCGAGAGAAGGGGAAAGAAGAGGTTAGTGACAAATGCTCCAGTTTTTCTGATGCCATCTGTTCCTAGATGTGTAGCAACTGAAAATAGGCTGACACAAACAACAAGTGTTAACAAACAGGTTAAATGTGCGGGACTCAATGTGCTCAATGTGGGGTGGTTATTGTTTCTGTATACCCGTGCAAACTCATTTGAGCAACAGAATTAGAAGGAGCCTGATCAGGCTTGACCTGTTTATGCTGTTTTTAGATGAGAAAACACACCCAGAATCCTACAAACGTCAAACACCATTACACAACTTTTTCCAACTTAAGCGGACTTTCCCCTTTTACCTGCCATCAAGTAGATTAAAACAAGGTTAGAAATGAAAAACAAACTTAAGCTCCGGGCATGTTTATCAGTGTTACAGATTGAAAACTTCTATACTGTTCCATTGTATCATTCCTATAGCTTTAAGTACTTCATTTAAAGTAAAGATATGGAAAAAGTTCCAACCACCAGTTGCTGCACACTGCTGGTTAGCAGGCTAAAATAATGCTGCAAAACCTTTACCTCAATTAGTAGATTACTCGCAAATGAGTTATTTCCTATTCATTTGAGATTGTACTTGTGACATTTATTCTTTAAAGCAGATTTAATGGGAGTGGGGGGGTATTAGTTCTCTTAGGCCTTGAAAGAAGGAGAGGAAGGCCTATTTCTACGTGGACACCCCGCCCATAACATCCTCAGAGGGTCGAAGAATGTTTTTTGAGAATGGAACATGTTAAGTGATTCCTGTAAAACTAAATGTCTGAAATACATTGAGGCAAAAGAAAGAGCAAGAATTATTGCAATTTTTTAAGTGATATCTGGGTTGGTGATTTTCATACATCAGTATAATAATAATCAGGCAATGCTTTACTTGTTGATGACATTTCATTGCTCAGTATATATAAATGTCTAAGACTACCCAAAAGTTTCCTTCTCTGGCTCCAACTAAACTGAAATAATTCCTCACTTAAAAAATCCTGAACCTTCCCTTTAAAAAGCTGTGTCTTTAAGCATGTGCGGTGTAAAAGTGATAAGAGAACAGCCCCTGCATTTCTACCTCTGTTTACGTCTGCTGTAACACTGTCATCAAAGCCTTAGACGTGCTGGCTTTGATCCCGTCCCGCCTTCCACCAACTCCTCTTAGCGTCCTGTTGTTGTGGCTCCTGTCAGGACCCCCCCCAACTAAGTCAGACACACAGGCTCCATGTGAGGGCCCCTAACCCCTCCTTCCTTCCCTCTCCTCCTTAAGCCTGTAATGCATCGGTTGGCTCCAACCTACCTGTCAAAACAAGTTTCTTAGCAGAGCACAGCACTGCACTTGTTATCCAGAGCTAATAGGCTGATTACTACCTTCTGATTATAATCACTCCTCCTCCTTCCCCTTTAAAATCTTTGTTTTGTAAATTTTTCTGCACAGGTGTGCACATATGCATGCATTTATAGATGTGGCAGCAAGTGTTTATACATAAAGAATAGCAGTGAAATTGCCCAGATAATCTCTGATCTCTTCTTGCTTCCCTCTGCCCAAACCATAATAACAGAACTGGAGCAAACAAGTCCTTTGGAGGCTTCAAGTGGTTCCATATGAAAGTAAAGAATAGTTTTAAATTGTATGGGATACACCTCTTTCTTTCCCTTCCCACACTGCATCCCTGTTAGTGGCCTGGCCCAGCTCTGCATTTAAACACGGGCTTGTCAAAAGCCAACTGAACAGACAGATTCTGTTGCCAATTTCATTCATGGTTCACGCATTAAAGAAAACTCTCCTTTATCCTTCTCTTCACCTCCTCCTTTTCCCCTCCTCCATTGGTCTAGCTAATTAAAAGCTGTTAGGGGTCTGGGACCAATGTGTTTTGTGCAAAAGCAGGGGAGGAGGAATGAATGGGGTGTAATTATACCCTCGGCCTCCCCAGAGACAGACTGCCTGAAGGCTACACGGCCCCTTCAACCTCTCTGCCTAAATCTCTGAGGAGATTTCACCACTCTGACTAATGTGGAGGTGTCCAATGTGTGCATCCATATGGCTGAGGGGGCTTTTGGCTGTATCATCTTGCTTGGCCAAGATGAATGTCACCACAGCATGAAAATCTTTTCAATTCCTCCATCCTCCTTTTACATGTTTGCTCATCTTCCCACATCTGTGCTCACCTCCAACTGGGATTTCTCAGGAGAGCGAGAGACGCAATAAACCTGATAGCTTTGTCCTTTGAGCGATTCAGAGCCAGGTGTGTGAGTCGTTGAAAGCCTACTTTACACAGTGCTTCCTCTTCCTACGTTCTGGGCTTCTGTGTGTGCTCTCCTTTGAGATTCTCTGAAGACCCTTATCCAGGGCGTCTGGTGCCCACGGCTCCTGAACACATCTGCTCATCAAGGCCTTGCGTAATCCCTGGTGTGTTCATGTCTTATATGAGTCTGAGATATGGGTAAACAGAGGAGGTTGAAGGTTGTTCCCCTCTGCATGTAATTTCTCACAGCGGAGCTACTCCAATTTTTGCATCATAATTTGGTGGTGGGGTGGCAAGGGCTTACCATTAGTTCAACTTCATCCAACCCAATACTCAAACATGCATTAGCCTCTTTGTTTTTTAGTGTGCAGTTAAGCATTTTGATCAAGAATGGAAATGAATGATGTATATTTCAATCTAAACATATATCATTACCTGAAAGCTGTATGTCATGCTCTTTTCCTTATTAAAGCTCCGATCCATGTTTAGACCAGTTTACTCTTCTTAATTATGACAACTAATAACTCATTATAAAAACCAAGTTACTACATACTGGTATATATCACTTATTAAAAAAACAAAATTTCAATGCAGCAGGGTCAGGTTTCATAGCGGATATGAAATGTTCTCTTCATACGTGTGAATTGATACACGGAGGGTACCAAACGGCTATTTAGTTTATTTAAACATTTAAAGTTGTAAAGATACAAAATGGCGAAGGGAAGAAAATGACCACCACCCTTTGCATGATTACAAGGGGGTCATAAAGTAGAAAACAGCTCCAATGATTGATACAGAAGGTGGCTTTTTCAACACTTGTCTCATTTGATGGAGGCTTTGAAGTCTTTCCATTGTCACTGAACTACTCTTCAGTTTTATCCTTTTCCTGTGATTCCTGTTTTCGTCTACCCTTTTCCCCTGACCGTCCCACCATTTACACCCCCCCAAAGCTCCCACTGGTTTTGTGCAAACTACAGACACAGGAACGTCTGTCTTTAACCACCTCTCCAGAGAGAGTTTCAAACTGCTGTTCGAGGTCGAGAGGTTAGAGTTCATAGTTACAACTGCTCACAGACACTACCCTCCGAGTCAGCATTGGTGATATACACCCCACATGCACAAAACATCCAAAGAGAAAGCTGGCACCCCCCCCCCCACCCCCCCCCCCCCCCCTCCCCTTGCATCTTGCATCTGTTGTGCAGGTACAGTAGTTAGTAGAAAGTGTGCACATTCTGGAATGTAACAAGCAGGCAGAGGTTGGGTGGGGGTCGGTTTGGGGTGGGGGGGTGGAGTTGTGGTTTGCAGGGTTTCTCATGAGGCATGCTCATCAAATTCCTTATCCCGCTTTATCACACTTTAACTGTGAGGTCTGAACTTAATATGCTATTAATTTGTTGCGGTATGACAGATTCACACCTCTTTTCACACAAGCTGTCAGAAGGCCTAATGGGTTTTAGTTGCTCATAGCATGCTGCCCAATAATAGCCAATCTAAAAAGTCTTTCTATATTAGCTTCCATCGTAATCTAACAGGAGGGAATTCTTCCTACACAACCCACCGCTGCAACTAGCTGCACCTTTTTTTTATTACATCTTTAAAAACACAATGTTGCAATTTGTAATTGAGCTGGTATCTTATTTATGCATAAAGAGAATTATGCAAGATGAGAACCTTCACCCATGTCAACAATAGTGTTTCTCTTCCCCTCCCTTCATCCATCACTGTCCACTCTCTCCTCCCTCAGTCTCCCTCTCTCTTTTATTATTCCACATCCAGCCCACCCCCACTCTTTTCCCTGCTTTGTCCTGTCTCTTAAGGCTGACATAATAAACTGAAGCTCTTCATCCAGGCTAATTTCTCAACACAAATCCATTTCTCACCTCAGCCTGTAGCCAGACTACTACCTCTCCCCCCACTTCATTCCCCTTCACTGTGACCCCAACAATCTTTTCAACCCCCCCCCCCCCCCCCCCCCCCCCCCCCCCCCCCGTTTTCAGGATCCTCCTGGTCCATAAGCATAGAATGGGTAAAAAAGGCCAAATGGTATAACGTGGGTTTAAAAGGATAGTTTAGAAGCAAGATTCTGTTCAAAATTTGGAAGTTACATCCTACCAGCTGTTAATATTCCTCTGAATTTCTTTATTTAGAGTGGAGATTAAAAAGGCCTGGGGCTAATGTTTTAAGTCAAGATCTTAACCCATTTGTGGTCTTTTAATTATTTGGTCTATAACCAGCAGCAAGTACTTTTACTGTTTTGTATCAAATGTTTGCTAAATGCAATTAACATAAAATCTCAGCTAAGAATCCAGGAACCCATTATTGTCCTCTTTTGGTGTTACTGCACCAAAATAGTAAAAATTAGAAAACTTAGGATAAGTAGGCAGAACACAAGAGAACCAAAAATTTGTATCACAGTATGTCCTGTGTGATATAGCTTTATATAAATGATAAAAAATCTAGTTAAAAAAACAAAACAAAACATTTATGTTCAAAAGGACAAAAACGAGATCCCTAAATGAGAGGATATGATGTCTTCTTTTCCCAAAACCGCCTTTAGGGGGCAACAGTGAACTTCCAGTAAACACCAGTTCCAAAGTATGCATGAAATGCCATGAATGACCAGTGTACACACAGCAAAGCTTGTTCACTACGGTGATAACATTTTGTGTAAAGTGGCCTCTCCAGTGTTAGCAGAGGGAAGCTTTGTCATTCTATGGTAGAATACTACATGGGGCCAAAACAGAGGACAGTCAGTGAGAATGAGGGGAAACAGAAGGAGTGGGGGTCTGGGTGTGTGGGAGAAGTCTGGACTATAGATAAGGAACTGAAGAGAAAGAGAGGAAGACAAATAACAGGGGTGGATGGATGCTCCGATGAAGGAAACATAAAAAAACAAAACAGTGCCATATTAGTTTATATTTACTAGTAATGAATGTACTAGACTTTATATATAAAAAAAAAAAAAAAAAGACAGTAATACCAGCTGGTCTTGATGCTAAAAATGGCCCATGATTCTGAATGAAAGCAGTGTGTATTTGATTGTTCTTATGCACGATAAATCTCATCAGGGGGATTATTCTAAAACTGACAGAACAGCAGTTACATCACCAGGTCTTAGATTATATAGCGACTAGATGATGATAATTTTGTGTCTGTGGGTTAGATGGTCAGATTTCAAACTCTGTAATCTGCCTGTTCGAATATGCGTTACTGTGAGTGTGTGCTCCAACTCCAGTGAGATAGAAGAAAAAGCAGATAGTACATGGCACTGGAGGTACTGCTGGATAGGTCATAATGTGTAAGAAATTAAATGGAAGGAAAGTAGTGCACAATGTATAAAATATGTACAAATAAAGGGCATTTTTTCAAGTTAAAGCACCGTACCTCAAAATCAAAATTCACCACAATAACAGCATTTCCATAATACTAGCTGCACTTACCACGATAATCACAAATATTAGATGCTAAAGCAAACTATAAAAATTGTATAAGAATCTCAGAAATACCCCAAAAAGGCATTATCTTAGCAATACATATGGAGACTAATGTTTCAATAACTCAAGCTGCACCAACCGGGCCAAATAAGGCAAAAATAAATGTTTAAAATCCAAACTCTAATTTTTTCCACACATTACAAAATAGAAGATTGGGGACTGGTCATAAACTTGTAATTGGCTGCATGGGGTTGATATGATTCCAGCCTGGAGCAATACCAACCACCTCCACTTGGGCTTTACTGCAGCAGCAGAAGGCATGCCTGCTCCTGATGAAGTATATCTGGAACATCCTGGCCATAGAAGATGGATAGTGGTGGTGTTTTAACAGAGATAAGGCAAATCTAACATTAATAAGTAAATGAAACAAAGAGGGCCTGGAGTCAGACTCAGAGGAGATCCAGCTAGTAGAGACAGGTACGGGGTGGCGGGTTGGGGGACAGCTGACGGGGCTGAGTATAGTAACAGTAAGCTGGTATGCTGTCTGTGACTAATATTAACGTCCCAGTCCTCCCCTTTTAGCCCCCCCAGCAGAGAGTGTGAGTCACACATTCGTCAAGTCTCGGAGAGGTTGCCTACGGGAGAAAGGCCACTCCCTTTCTCCCCCTGTGACGTTCAGGTGGAGTCGTGTGCTGTCAGCCAAAACAAAAATACGCCTGCTGCCAGTTAAACCCAGTTAAAGGCCAGCGTAAGTTCAACCTCTCCCCTACAAAGACTAATAAACGCTAACACAGGCCCAGACACGTAACAGATGAACAGGGCTTTACCTGTCACGTAAGGAAGAGTAGAACACACAGTTGCATATCAAGTTAACGTGAGGATTTAAGCCACTGTTGTTCAGGCTTGCTGACAAGATGGCAATTTATTCATGTCTGAATAGTCTCAGTCATGAATGAGCAGACTGCAGCCATCTGGTCACTGTCCTCCTCCTGTAAGATAAATCTGTGCCGTCTAACAGTCAGGCCAAGGATCAATTAGTACAATTATCCGTGGAGGGCACAGACGGATCAATAAAGCTTTACTAACAGGAGGCTGATTGATCATATGGGGATGGTTCTGGGCAGGTGGGATGCAGAAGAACAAAAAGAAGAGTTTGACAGCATAACAAAAAAAACAAAAAAACATCTAAAAAAAGATAAAGGGAGTAAAAGAAAAAAGGATAGCAAAGATTAATCTAATTTCCTAAGATTTGAGGCAAACCATAATAAGGTTTGATAGTAGATTCTCTGTTTATTCTAACTGTGTCAGAGACTATGTTTAGACATGCAGAAGAAAGGATTAGTGTTTTTCTATCATTTTTCCCCTGTTTTGGTTATGCAACTCCCATTTAACAGCAGAAGTAGTCCAGGGTCGGATTAGAGACGACACACAAGATCTGACTTTGCAACAGATTGGGCCATTCTTTCTTTCCCTAACCCTAACACACTCTCATCTTCATCTACCAGCCTCTCGATTCAATGGGCTACAGTGTCTATATTTCCTACAAGCTTTTTATACGAAGAAGACATCATTGTACACTTTGTTTGCTACCCACATAGTAAACTCAAGGTTGTTTTTTTACTGAGAGTATGTTTTTGGGGTTTTTTTAATCTATCAATACAGCACACATAAGTAGATCTTTGTATATTGTAAGGTTGAAAAAAGCAAATGCATAAGTGAAAACATTTATAACATTCAACATATTCACAACTCCCAAAAGCAGAAACTTGGTGTAATAAAGGAGATATGTAATATAAACCAAGTTAAACTGATCACTGTGAGTTAAAATAGGAAAATTACTTAAGGCTTATTTTCAACATCTCAAAATATAAAAAAAATGATTAACTTCTGGGTTATGATATCAGAGAATTCATTAACTTGTCTTGTTTGAATCTCTGGTCTCTGTTTTACCAGAACATAGAGTTCCAAATTTTCCCTCAGGTCTAACTGGATTTTCCCTCCACCTGCTCAGTCTGGCTGAGGTGACTCAGGTGGGTCAGATCACTGAATCACTACAAATGATACAAGCACTGCTCACTGCATTTGCCATTAGACTTCCAATTAAATTACGAAAGTCATTTTCTTTTTCTTACACCATACTCCTTTCTGTTGTTATTGGTAAAGGGCAATTAGAGAGTAACTAATGTAAATAAGAAAAGCCTTAAGGTCGATAATAGCACTGCCGATTGTATTTCTTTATAGTGGGTTCTAAATTGATTTCACATCAAGTGAAAAAAAAGGAAATAAATCGCCGACCGTCTTTATGTTTCAGCTCCATTTCCAAACAATACCCACTGAGATCTGTGAGATTTGTCCCCACGCTTAAAGCTCAATAAATCGCTCTCCGATCTGTCAAGTGTGATCGATCCCACTAAGTGGCCAGATATCATTACATTTCTGACCTCAAAACAATATCATCAGCACTATGGATGACTCAGCTAAACAGCTGGATGAACATCATCTTTGGAAAAACACTTTTTTTCTTTCTGTTAGGGAATTAACTCCCACTTACTATTAGACACGCCTTTTTCCAAGACTCACACAGGTGCAGAGCATGCAGACGGCATGGGCCAAGTTCATACTTGTCAGTCTATTTTCTACTATTAGAGTATGTCTGAGTCTATGTGTTACAGTTAAATATAGTGGTGAATGTGTCCATCTGTTAAGGAATCAACTCAATGGTCCAGCACACAATATTTAAAGCTGGCGGCCAGACATATCTATAAAATCACTTAAACTCACTTGAAATATACTTGATCACACACGGAACATCATCTCATACATACACATACATACTATATAATAATATAGAAAATACTCTCCTTTATACCAGCTTTTATGTATGCTTGCCTCTAATGACATCAAATAAGGTAACTGATCAGGGTTCTTTTCAAATAGGTGTCTTTTTTTTTCCCATTTTAATCTCTCTCCAAAAAATTTTATTTGATTTCCCTCCCCAAAGGTTTTCATCTGAATTCTGCGTGGCTGCAGGAAATTGTTTTATTTTGGAGACTTCTACATGGACTTCACAGATAAAACATAAGTGGTTTGTGAGGTCCATTTCAGACTGAAATGAAATGTAAATACTTCTAAATCTCTGCCATAAAATAAAATTCTAGGCTAATTATTGTGCCTTTTGTGATGTATTTGACCCACATGCATATAAAGGAGAATAGGAAGTGGAATTCTTTTGTTTTATAAAATTAATAAATCAATGTATTCTGTGAAATGTTCCAAACTTCATAGCCAGGTTTGGTTTTTGTTTTCAGTGCATTTTGGGTGCAAATAAACACACATCTGGATGGTTTCTTGAAAGCCACTTTTCTAAACATTAACCTTCTACATTGCATTTGCTGTAGTAAATTAAAAATGGCAAGTAAAAACAAACATGATTGGATGTTTACATATAGCCTACTGACGCATAACTGCAACGAAAAGTTTAAATCTACTTAGATCTTTGTAGAACAGTGTCTGATTTAAGTTAAAGGTTGTTCATATTTTATTGATTTATTTATTTATTTTAAATCCAGGCTGTCAAACCAAAAAGAGTAGCCGAGATCTGAGCACTTACTTTGGGTTTGAGCTGTTCCAATAGACGCTGTGTCGCTCCGCTGAAACGAACCAAGCACCGACGCTCAGCAGCAAATACACCAGGCACAGCACATCCATTGCCTCTCTTCTCTTGTCCTCAGCAAGTTGAATGGAAAATGTTGGAAAACTTCTTCAGTGAAAGATTTCAATGCGCGTAAAAAGGTTCGCAACCGCAGATTGCACCAATAACTGATGGGTATTTATCACAGAGAAGAAGCGCTTCTACTGACTTTGTTGTTATCTGTCTCATGCGAGCGAAACTTGCCTGTTTTGTCTCATCTAGGCTCCGCCCACTGGAGTAAAGAGCCAATAAGCAACTGCTTCAGTTTTTTTTTTTTTTCATCCCACACAATTCTCCAGCAGTTAGCGCTTCATTCCGGGAACACACTGAAATACAGTACTGCTCTAAGGCAAATGTAATGATTTTTCTCTTCCTTTGTAAGAGATATAACAAAATTGAGTCGAATGTATATAAAAAAATATATAAAAGTATATAAAAAAAACATTTTTCAAGAAAAGAATCAATTGTAACAAAAAAGAAGTAATTTTTAAATAAAGAAATACATATAAAAAAACAAGTGGGTCAAATATAAAGAGAAAATCTATCAAAATGAGGAAAGCTGCTGAATTTTGCTGTTACCCTGGTAACAATTATGTATGGGCGGAACAAAAGGTTATTTAGCCTCATAAACTGATATTCCACATTGGTCCTCCTTTTTCTTTTTTTAAAATCACTTTTTAAGTCACTTATTTATCTATTTATTTTTGATGTCGTGATTTTTTTTAGCTTAGAATATCACATATGTTGCTTTACATGTGTTTGAGTTTATCTGGTTTGAAAATATGTTATTTGACTTGATGTCCTTAAATACATTTTAACCTCTGGGTCAATAATAAAATACATAATCATGACCAGTAATAAAAATTAAATAGTTCAAGATTAGGCAATCCCATCATTTTTTATATGTATTTGTATACATTTTCTCTTGCCCGTAGACAGCTGGAAGCACCAGCACCCCTTGCGACCCCAGCAGGGATAAATGGAGTGATGGAAAATGGATGGATGGATGGATACATATTTGATCTTATCTCATATTTTTAATTCCTATTTTTATTATTATGTGTTTTCTGCAGGAAGATTACTGGTGCTGCACTTTTAGCTACACATAGTTCCCCTTTAAGTAAGGGATTGCTTCAAAAGAAAAAGAAAACAACCAACAATGCACACTTGACAAGTTTAAAGTAACACATATTAAGACTAGGTTTATTTCAAGATGGTAGTTTGCTTTGATTTTGCTTGGCCAATCAGAATAGTCATTAGCTTCAGTTTCTAGAATGCTCTTGATTTATATGGAGTCACATCAAACTATAACTGTAGTATTAATGTAAACAATACTGCAATCACCATAACCCATTTGGATGCAATATTACAAATAACATTAATTTACACGCTTTGTTTAAATATTGTATTTGGTTAGTTGGATTAACTCTTTATGCCCGAATGGCTAATACTGTTCGGGATTTGGAAAGAAAAAGTATTAAAGTTCATGAAAAGTGGAAGGAAAAATAGAAATGACAGGAAAAAAGATAAGGTCAGGAAAATCTTGATTGATTGCAACAGATATCATTGTTCTAACATTAAACAACAAGTTCTCCACTGCAGGTAGGAAAATAGTTACTGTATCCTTTTAACAGAAACTCAACTCGAAAAATTATGAAAGCTTTGGAACAAACCGTACAACACGTGACTGCAGTTTGTCATGAGAAATGGCTCCAGTCTGTGTTATACCATGAGGATGATGATTATCTCTGAGGGAACATGTAATTATCATTTTCATGTTGTTGCTGTTTTTACTTAACTCAATTACTTATATAAATGTATATAATATAAATATTTTCTACACAGTAAGTCTCTTGAAAACAAAAAACTAAGGACAAGTAAGGAGAGATTGACAGTTGAAGCAGCTAAAAAGCGTGTTTGAGTTTCTGTCCTTAGATAAAAATGCAAGCCTTTGCAGAAGAGCAATGCAGGAGGTTACTGCCTTGCACTTGACTAAACTAATCAAACACTTTTTAGCCAGATTCAAACAAAGGTGCAACAAACTAAGTACAATACAACATATATTGTGGTCTGTTAGTGTATTGTGTGGACAGCACATTTGTTTGCATGTGGTGTAACACTTTTCTTAGTTGCTTTAGGTTTTAACTGCGTACCTGCATGACGTACTGTGTTGCAATTAATTATATGTTGTGCTTACTTGTTATCATTGTCACGCAGCCTCATAATCAGGGTTAGGTTTTTTTGTTTGTCCTCTTTCTCTCCGGATTTTTGCAGCTCCACTGTCATTTTCTTTTTTTTTTTCTCCAATGTTTTGCACTAGTTGCATTAAAGTTCTATAAACCTATAAAGTGAAACATGTGTGTCCAACTTTCTTGCAGGTTGTTGTTGTTCAGGCATGCAGGTATAAAGATTATGCTTTGTCAGAAAGTAAAGAATTATTACAGTCTTATCAGTGAGTTTTATTTCATAGTCTCCACTTGCCTGTTGCACCAGACAGGTAAGTAGAGAAAACAAGTTGGAAGATGGTAAGGATAAAGTCCAGGCTGTTAAATGTCTGCAGGACTGTGGCCTCAGCAGAAGGGCTACCCTCGAGCAGTGATGGACATGAGCTATTGCAGACTTCTGTGTGCATTACAAGTAAAGTGTGTTTTTGTCCAAAGGCTTGGTTGGGCAAGCTCTCACATGATCAGGGTAGATAAGTTAAGGGTACCGCTGAGTGCTTTTCCATTCTATAATATCTCCCAGATAGGAGTGGCAACAGACAGAAAGCCGAGAAATATTATTAGTGAATATTAGGGATGTGGCACCACATCCAGAAATCAGCAACAATACACAATTTTTACTATTTTTACCTGGAACAGAATTTTCAAGCTGAAATTAAAGGAAAATTCCGGTTTTTAACACTTTTAGCCCATTTTCTGTAGTGTCCAGGATGAAATCGAATGATCGACACCAAAATTTTAACAATTGGTCCTGTCTCTGCTATTTGGCTCATGCAGAATGCCCCCCTGGGTGCTTCAGAATGGCTTCCATAGTGCATGTCCGATAATGTCCTTAAAACAACCTTAAACGTTCTTTTTTTAAAATATGCTACTCACCGGGTCGTCAGCGCTGTTCAATGACGTTCCAAAAAAAGTTTCGTAAAGAAAAAACGTTCCTGTAGTGTTTTATTTAGCATTTTGTAAGTCCCATTGAGTTCTGTTGGAATAGTCAATATCCCTCCGCCACCGGAAACGGAAATGGGGCCTGTTTACGCTTAGTTGTAGTCTTTTCGCAAGGCCCAAGTGTTTCTGCTTCACTCTGTGTACTCCGACGTCGAGGTGCTAACGTCTCTGTTAAACACTTTAAAAAACTCTGAAAATGGAATACGAAAGGTGGATTCTTGAGGAGGAGGACATATTGGACTTTGAGTTTGACGGTAGAGGATACCGTCGCCAACTAGTGGTCTGGAGTGTGCAACGCTTCAGATTCGAATGGGAAGCGGAAGTTTATAAGCGGTTGTGATGTATCGGAAAAAATTGTTCTGGGATTTACAAAATGCTAAATAAAACAAGACAGGAACGGTTTTTCTTCACGAAACTTTTTTTGGAACGTCATTGAACAGCGCTGACGACCCGGTGAGTAGCATATTTTAAAAAAAGGACGTTTAAGGTTGTTTTAAGGACATTATCGGACATGCACTATGGAAGCCATTCTGAAGCACCCAGGGGGGCATTCTGCATGAGCCAAAAAGCAGAGACAGGACCAATCGTCAAAATTTTGGTGTCGATCATTCGATTTCATCCTGGACACTACAGAAAATGGGCTAAAAGTGTTAAAAACCGGAATTTTCCTTTAATTTCAGCTTGAAAATTCTGTTCCAGGTAAAAATAGTAAAAATTGTGTATTGTTGCTGATTTCTGGATGTGGTGCCACATCCCTAATATTCACTAATAATATTTCTCGGCTTTCTGTCTGTTGCCACTCCTAAATGCAAAATGCAACTTACGCAAACTAATCACTTACAGCATTTTTTTTTCACACAAAGTAGATTCCACCTTTAAATCCCATGTAGGCCATTGCACTTTGGGCTACCACTGGATGCGCTATCACTGTTACTCCATTAGAAACAATAAGAGCACTCAGAAAGCACTTGAAATCCCAAATCAAAATGAACATTTAAAACAGATAAAGGGTTCTAAAATGCATCCACTGCTGGTGTACACTAAGCCTGCCAAACAAAGCCATTTTGACAATAGCTTGTTAGCTCTTTGTTTGATAGATGATATAATTAATGTAATATCAATTTATTGCTTTGTGCTAGTTGAGCAAAGTAAGATATTCAAAATCTTGCCCTCTGGTAACATTATATTTTCAACCTATGGATTGATTTCCTGAGAGGAACGTCAGAAATGAAAATACTGTCTCAGCATCACCAAAACTAGCCCGTGATTCACTGACCTCGGAGTACAAGCAACAAGATCCCAGTTCTCACTTTGAACACAACACTCAGAGAGAGGTGGCTGAGAGTCCCCTCACTGCCAGCAGACTTCCGCTGCTCATACATGGGCTATGCTCTCTATGCATCTAACTACAGCATCTCATGTAACAGAGGAATTTAGGATTCCACAGTCTATAAGTACAATTCCATTTGGATACTGCTGCAGCCAACAGTGAGGTATCTGTGCCAACTCTACACATCTGATTTCTATTAATGTACACAAACAGGAAAAGTCCTCTCTGCAGGCTTCTTTGACAGTGTTGTTGCCAATATAAACCACAGATGATACTCAGTCCTCCCACAGCCCATACAGGCACACTCAGACCGGGGCTTCTAACCAAAAAACAAAAAAAAAGTTGGCAGAAAAAAAGCGTTTGATGAGATGGAAAAACTCAGCAGTTCTAAAATCAGAGTATTAGAGGAAGTCGGGGGAAGGATTGACAGCCAAACAAACAGTTTGACAGGCGGAAACCAGGCTTGTTTACTTCCAAAGAACTTGACTCCAGGCGTCACAGGATCTGCCACAAGAAATTACGTATTATGTGGAAATGCCGAAGTTGAGTAACTATTTTGATTAGGGGAATCTAGTGGTGCTACCTGTTCCTGGTGATACTTAGTTGTCTTTGGACTAAATATATTGATATTTGTTTTATCAGGACACTAACCACAGAGTTTGGGTATTAATTAAAAAGTTAAAAAGAATAGAAAGAA